GCAATCTCAGAACTTGGAATTTCTGCGAGCATGGGTGGGAATGAGGTGAGATGGGGTTTCCCTCCTCCACCCTCTCTGCAAGTGGTTCCCTGTGCCTCCTTTCTTGGATCAGGCTAAGAACAGGGAAGCAGTCTCTCCTCTTTCCTTGGGAGGTCAAATGGAAACACACAGCAGGTCAGCTCCATGACAACTCTCTTCAAAGAAACCCTGTCTCCAATCTCTCTGATCCCTCTCTGGCCTTGTCATCTATACAGGCTGAAGGGGAGAGATGGGCTAAATCTGGTGGAGCTGGCATAGGTGTCAGGTCCGCCACATTGATGGTCTGCACCACTCTTTAGAAAGTAGCGGTGCTTGTCCCCCATTGTTCTCGGCATTGAGGTCTTAGCAGAGACTATGGGAAGTCCCACTGCACATTCATTTACATTTATGTCATCCCTGAAAGCTATATAAAAAGACTAAAATCTGACTTTACTATAGTAAAATTTAGCCAAACCCATGGAACTATAAAGATTCATAAAGAAAACTCAGAATCGTGGACTGGGAGAGCACGTGCTGTCTTTGGGTGCAGTCTCTTCACAACGGCAGCAGATCAGTGCATATTTCCAGCTGGCATAAGTACATTTCTGCAGACCAAGTTTTCCCCTTTACCTGGGAGATGGCTTGTCTAGACAACCACAACACAGATGCAGACGTCACAACTAGAGCACAAATGTGGCTGCCGGGGCGAATCACAGCTGAGTCAGAGGCCGCCGTTAGTCTCGCAGCCAAGCCAAAGGCAATCTTTGTGGAATGCTGGTTAGCCTGACTGTTTGAAAAGAAGAGTTTGGGAACTTCCCTTAAGGTTCTTTTCCTAATGCAAGGAAAAAAGACAAACTACCAGGGGCCACTGGTTCCACATGAAAAGTTGAGCTAATCTAGAGGGCTATTGCAAGAAATGAAGCAAGTCCTCTTAGAAGGGAGTGTACACGTGTTGTCACTGCAGGCATGATCCCAGAGGGGACCTGAGCTTTGGCTGGCATTACTGAGAGTTTTGATCTTTCAACAGCATTGGAATTTTTTTTCCACCTCCCTGGAAACTGCAGGCGTTTAGTGTATAATCCAGAATTAGGGGAAACAAACTGGCTCTCAGTCTGAATATGGAGAAGCAGCACAGACTTTGTAGGAGTGACAACAAACTTCTCAATTTTTAAACTGATGAGGAATCCATTCTCCCCTTCATAGACTCTTTTATTTCCAGTTAAAATTTTAATACTTAAAAATCTTTGTGGCCTACACGATCCCCAAGAATTTGGTTGATTATAGGGTCGTGTCCACATGGGGTCCATCAAGACCTAGTTTCTACCTAGTTTCATCCTACTCAAACTTAAACCATCTGATAAGAAATTGCTTCTCCCAGGAATTCTGGAAGCTCTAGAACACCAGACCAGGTAGGAGGGCTGGCCTCATTGAACTGGGTAGGGAAATTCTCATAATACTAGACACTAGACATAATTTCCTAAAAAACTCCAGGCTACCTTCTTCATTCCCGTTGGAAAGGTGCAAGAGATGGTGCCTGCACCCACCCAACCATTTACTCCTCTTCCTCAGAGCAGATTGTCCCCAGTGACACATAGTCTGCCTGGGCAGGTAGTCATTCCTCCAGCTTGGCCTCCTGGGGCAGACACCTGGTGATTTCTGAATCATTTCCACCCCTTCAGCTGAGATGATGAGCTACCATTTGTGTTTCAGTGAAAAACTTAAGCCTTACTCAGATTTTCAGTAAATTGTACCCAATACTGGCAACGAATGAATGTTGGGGGGGGGGGGAGGAGTGGAGGGGGGCATGTGGTCTAGTCTAGTGGTTCCATATGAGATTTGTCAGCAGTCCTGTTCTTATTCCCAGAAGCCTCTCTGACTCACTTTGGGCAGGTCACATTGTGTTTTCTGGATGTTTTTTTGGATTAGAAATGTGATTGTGGCTCACTTGGCCTAGTCTTGAGCATGAGTTGTTAATGAGGGACTTTAACTACAAATTCAGGGGTTAAAATATTGTCCACACAGCAGGTGAGTAACTAGCATTTAAAGAAGACGGTCCAATTTTTGTCAACTGCGAGGAAGATGAGACCATCCTTAGACATTTTTCTAAGCATAGTTTTCATGCACTCAGGAAGTAGAATGAATAATTTCAAGTGGATTTGTGAGGTCTCTCCCAGGTTCACTGAGAGTCCCCTGGAGTATTTGGAGATGCTTCTTACCTTGAGCAGAATGATGGCTGTGTCAGCTGGGGTCCCCCAAGAAGCAGACATTAAGGTGGGATTAGGTAGGAAAGATATTTATTGGGGGAAATGACTGTGAAGGATAAAGGGGAGACAGCTGGGGCAGCTCAGCCAGGTCAGTGTATCCACTAGGCATAGCAGTCATAGTGCCTAAGGGCCATGACACTTGCAGGGATCCACGAGAATGTTTTTATGTTATTTATTTTAAAATCAAAAGAAAAAAATTGGATAATAATAACAAGCATAATAAGCCCAGTCTAGATTGTATTCATTTTTATATCAGTGCAGTTATAAAAATAATGTTTCATATATTTTACGGATAAAGGGACCCATGGCAGTGAAAGTGAGTAGGTTCCACAAAAGTCATAATGTGGCCTTTCGTGGGGAGAACCTTCAGCACAAGACGGAAGGCTGACATCTGTGAAAGAGGGGCCAGGCTGATGGGGAGTTGCCGAAAGACCCCTTGTCCAATAGAATGGTCCTGCTCTGGTACCCTACCGGTGTGTAGTCACTGGGCCCCAAATCCAATATGACTGGTGTCCTTTATAAAAAGGGGATATTTGGACACAGAGAGAGACACGCAGAGGGAGAAATGCCATAAGAACATAAAGTCAGAGATCTACTAGTCAAGGAACACCAAAGATTGCCAGGAAACCACCACAGGCCAGGAGAGAGGCCTGGAAAAGATTCTCCCTCACAGCCCTCAGAAGGAATCAACCCTTTCATTACCTTGATTTTAGACTTTTGGTCTCCAGAACTGTGAAACAATAAATGTCTGCTGTTTAAGCCACCCAGTTTATGGTACTCTGTTACAGCAACCCTAGCAAACTAATACAGGGGTATCATTTTTAAATGGACAGATTTGCCATAAAAGATTGAATTTTGAGCTTCTGTGGGGAAAGCCTGCAGCATCGGGCTGGGAGTAGAGGGATGGGCTTCAGGAGGAGATGGAGAACACAGGTCATGGAAGGGCTTGCCGCTCCTTACCACCAGCTGCTTGTTGAAGCAAGAGAACTTGTGCCCGAGGCTATCAGATTTTCTGATTTTTCCAGAGAGGCTTGATTTCTGTTTCTCATTGCTGGTGAAATATGATTTCAAATGTTGGCAACTAATTCACCACTTTCTTTTTTTTCTCTCTGACCCAAACCGCTACGTCAACCATAACACTTGACCTGGCTGGCTCCTCTAAGGAGCTGAATTTGTGATCTCTGTTTATTCACAGTGGCCTGGCTTGGTGACATGATCAGAGAAATTATGTTTAAACAAGAAAGATTATTCAGGCGGTTGAACAATTTGCTATGAGGAGAAAGTGAGCTTTGATTTATTCATTTTTCCCCTCTATTGTGTTGAAGTGAGGACCTTTCTGAGACTATATTTGTGCTTTAAATAATGCTTGGTTTAGGACCTACCACACACTGGGTAGTTTGTTAGATGCAAAGTAAGTGTCCAGTATGTAAAATAAATGAATAAATAAACAAATATATATATATATACATATACATATATATACACACATATATGTATACACACATATGTACACATATATGTATATATCTATATTCTTCCTAATATTTTTACCACTATTTTGCCAAGGATAAAAGAAATTGTTTTTAACCAGGCATCATGTAATAAAAACAAAATATTAGGCTGTTCTGAGCTTGTCATCAATAGGACTATTCTATTGAAGCTACACGGCATATCATTTCTCTCTCATTGCAGCTTAAATAAATTCAGACAAAATTGCTAATAATAATAGCTCCCTTTTATATAAAACAGACAATGGGGAAAGCATGGTACTAGAATCATTAATGGCATTACTTTATTTCATTATAATTATGTTAGACAATTACAGTGTACCAGGCACACACTAAGCACGTCACATACATAATCTCATTTAGTACTCATATCCGCCCAGTAAGAGAAGTATTTGATTCTCATTCTAGAGATCAGAGAAATGAAGCCCAAAGTGATTCAGTAGCTTGCTTAAGGTCATGGGGCTAGTGAAAGGTAAAGCAGGATTAGAGTTCAGTTCTTTCAATGCCAAATCCAGGCTCTCCCCATTCTGCCTCACCGTTTCTCAATTTCACCAGAATGCCTCTAATGGAGGTCAGCCAGAGCCCACGAAGGCCTTGCCAAGAGTGTCCTCACAAGTTCAACCTTCCAAATCCTAACCCTTTCTGGAGTGTTGATTTAGGACCTACATGTTCTATTAAAGAAGTACAACTTGTCATCTAGCGTGAATTCAAAATCTTAGTTTCACTGAAAGAATACACAGTGACATGTTGTGTGCATCGTAAAGATGCACAGGAGGTTCCCTCTATGCCTTTTTTAAAGAACACATGGCACAGTTGGCATGCTTTTAGAAACCATATAACTCAAAGAAGGCTTCTGCGGTAGTGCTCTGATTTTTTTTTTCTCCACAGCTGTATTCAGCTTGTGAAAATTCAAGCACTTTACAGATAAATACATCTATCTTCCTTTATGTATGTTTACTTCAATCAAAAGGAAGGAAAAGAAAAAGAATGGTTCTTACCTTGTATTTAGCAAAGCACGGTGAACTCCCTGTATTTATATCCCAGCTGCAACATCCATCAACCGACGGCCAACCATCTTTCATCTATAACTCACTGGTTTCCTGCCCACCACTGCCCCTGGATCATTTTGAACTAAATCCCAGAATCACACCATTTCATCTGAAAATCCCCAGCCTGTCTTATGCTGTATTTTCCTCTGTGTGATTTCCAGGCCACTACATGTATGTGGACGCGGTGTACGTCAAGCACTTCCAGGAGGTGGCGCAGCTCATCTCCCCGATGACCACAGCCCCCATGTCTGGCTGCCTGTCGTTTTATTACCAACTCCAGCAGGGAAATGACGTCTTCTCCCTTTATACTCTGGATGTGACTGGCCTTTATGAGGAGATCTGGAAAACGAACAGTCCGGGGCACCCCGCCTGGAACCTCGCTGAAGTGGAGTTCAGCGCGCCGTACCCCATGGAGGTAGGTGTGTCAGGTGTGCCAGCTGTTCCAGATGTGCCCTGGCCCGGCCACTCTGCAGGGCTGCTGTCCACACACAGGCACGGAGGTCAGGAGGTGCGACAGTCTCGCACTCATGCTTTCTTTTCTGCTGTTTGTTTTTATTTTCGTTTCCCCTCCTCGGCCTCCTCTACTTCTCTCCCTTCCTCTGTATTCCCTTCTGCCTTCTTCCTTTATCACCTTCGTTTTCTAACAAGACTGTTTTCTTCTAAGAATGAAATCAGCCAACTAGATTTCTTGGGCACACTTTCCCTCTGTACCTTGCAGTGGTCATGGGGGGTTCAAATGAGATCAATGCCTTCTACTTAAAACTCACTCTTGAACTTCCATGCCTGAGCGCAGTTAGGAAGGTTTTTCTTACTTGAGGGAATAGTCTTGCTAGAGGGAAAAAAATATGTATTTTCTTCTTTCCTCCTTTACAGAATTAATGTCACAAAAATCATAAATAAATTTACGACTGTGGTCCTAACTTGAAACAAGCCTTGGTGTTTTAGTTTTAATTTTTTTTATAGTTACATGAGTGATAAATGTCCAATGCAGAAGAATTAGAAAATTGAGGAAAATAAAATAAAATAAATCAGCCTGGGTGAACCCAACAAAGATGACAACTAACATTTTGGTGTTTATCCTTGAACACGTTTTTTCTAAGCACATATATTAACACATATTCTAGTACTTATAACAATTCAGCAAAGTAGATAAAATTATCCCTATATTACAGATGAAAAAGGAGAAATGGTGAGTACGAGAATTTTGACTTTTTAAAATCTAGGTCACAGCTGGTGAGTGCCAGGGCACTTGCAGAAAAGTTCCTGGACTAAAATCTGACCTAAAGCTGAAGGAGGGGGCCCAGCTCTGCCTGAGGACCCGATCAGACCTCTAGAATCAGTGGTTGCAGATTTGGAGCTATAAGTAGAATCTTCGTCACCACAGGTTATTAACATCCCCTACTTTTCACTTTGCACTTTTTGCAATATCTTTCACTAGTTCCCTTTAAAGTGCAAAAGGAGAAGATGATCCTCCGGATGCTTTTCAGTGGCATCATCTGCTCGCGTGATGTAGAGCTTCAAAGAATCCTGGGGTTGGGTCTTGGTTTCTGACATGTCCTGTCCACTGATGGTGTGCCTGCCACGTCCCCAGTCCCCTTCATATCCCTCTTCCCAACCCCCCCACCCCCACAATACAGCCCCAGAAAGAGCATAATGCCTTTTACAATATGTGTGCTATTACTTATTCCAAAGGCTGACTAGGCCTCGATTTCCTCTTGTACCCAGGGGAAAATTTTGTGAGTTTGCATTACAAGGAGAAAGAGAAATGCACATATTGCTTTAGGAATTTTTCCTTCCATTTAAAGTCCAATGAGTCACACACACATATACACACTAACAAGGCTTCCATTCCGAACTCCTTCCCTCCAACCTTAAACTCGTTGGGCAGCATTCAGATGAGTGAAACATCACTGGATTTTTTTTCTTTAAATCAAAGCTGAAAAGTTATAATTCTAGACACTACTAAACTTCAATATAATATATTCCTTTGATTCACACATGTGTGATTTGGCTCTCGTCTGAACTCATTATGCGGTATTATTTGCACTCAGTAACTGCCAGGAAAAGAAACATCCTGCAGAAATCAGTGACTTTAAAGTTACCATATTCTCAAATGAATTTTAAAAAGGAAAACAAACATTCGAGACCCTCTTTCTGAACAAGAGAGTGGCACATGGGCTGTGATGGAGCATATTAACGTATTCTGATCAGAAATATCATTCTTATTCAGGCTGTTCAGGAATATAAGTTTTGCCGTTCACTTTCTTTATCAGCTGGCATCTTCAGAACTAAATGTCATGGGCCTGTGTTAAGTTTGTGAACTTCATTTTCCCCTTCTCATTTGTCCACATCTGTTCCCTTTGTGCTCAGTGCTTCTCACCTTGCCGGAGACAAACTTCCAGGCCCCTCTTGAGTTTTGCAGAGTCCAGGTACCTGGTCTCTGCAGGACCATTGTTATTAAGCTGAAAGGGACCTTAGGAACCACTTTGTCCAAACTCTTTTTTTCAAAATGGAGAAACTGAGACCTGGAAGAGAGAAGGGGCCTGCTTGAGCTAATTAGCAGCTAACCGGACTCGAATCCAAATATGAGTGCAAGAGGGGCTCAACCTGAGAGAAAAAGGCATGAATTTAGTTCAGAGCTCATTATACATCTGACTGCATGCTTGAATCTTTATGCACATAACTCATTTCATCTCAACAGCCCTATGAGGTAGGTGTCATTATGCCTATTTTATAAATAAGAAAAGCAAGGCCTTGAGAGGGTTAGCAATGTACCCAAGGTCACCTAGCTAGTAAGTGATGATAATGAGATTTAAACTCTGGTCTGTCTGCTTCTAAGACACCATTCTTCTCAGAACTTGAAAACTGGAAGCCTATGGGTCAAATCTAGCCTATGATAATTTGCCTGGCTGTAGAAGTGGTGTTTTGTTTGTTGTTTGTTTGTTTGTTTTTTGCTTGTTTTAATTGTTTAATAGACTGCCAGCATTGAAAAATCAAAGAATGTAAGTAAAAAATCTAAATCCAGGTCCTCGTGACAATTTGGTAATTAGGCCCGAATTCCCACATGTTAACAATTGACAAAGCTGAGTAGTAGCGTCCTTTTTAGACAGAGCTTACATTCTCCATTTCCCCATAGTCCTCACCCTTACCAAGCCCTTGCATTTACATGACCTGCCTGGCCCATTTGAGTTTCAATCCTTACTCAACACTGTATTTTCTCCTGCCATCAATTCACAAGAGCGTACTGGACACTTGGGTGGTTTTCTCAGCACAGGTGAATGCTTTGCTGAACACACCTGATCCCCATAGACACAGGCAGAAGGTAGTTGATTGAACTCAGAGTTAAAGTTGGTTGCAGAAAAGAGAAAATCTATTGTAAATGGGTTGAACACATGACCCCCATGTACTTTCTAACCATTCAAACATGCCTGGACATGCTGAAATCCTAATATCCATGCATAGAATTTCTGGGCCTGATTATGCCTCAGCCATCAAGGTAATTGATTGCTGCATCTTTGTCCAAGACCCTCACATAGAATTCCATGTATGAAAAAAGGAAAGGGCTTTGGAGGGGCTTAGTTCTCTGTGAAGGGCAGGAGAGAATGAGCCTGCTTTCTGCAAATAGCCTGTTGTTTTTTTAATTGAAGTTTACATTGGGTTGTCGGAAAAGTCATGACATACTTTTTCTATGTTTTTTGTTGCAAAAATGCGTCATGACTTTTCCAACAACCTAATAGTACAAATAATAAATTCTTTAGTTGTATCAGAAGGTGATGGAGGTGCTTTAGCTGACTCAAGGGAATGGGTCAAGTCCACCAATAAAATATAACTTAGGGTTTAGTATTCATTCTTCCTAAAAGAGACTGTGAGTTGAGGAGGGAGCTGCCCAAACTCCTGTATCGAAAAACATGAGATTCCTTAAGTACTTATAACTTGGCATCTCCTGATTTGATTGACACATCATTTTAAATCATGGTTAAGAGCACTTTAAGCCCAACAGAAAATATGTAAACCTGTAACAATATGTCATTTTCCTCTGCAGGTTTTTAAAATTTTTTTTTAATTTTTCAATTACAGTTGACATATACTGTATTAGTTCAGGTGTACAACACAGTGACTAGACATTTATATAACTTACAAAATGATCCCTCACTATAAATCTAGTACCCATCTGACACCATACCTACTTACTACAATATTATCGACTATCTTCCCTATGCTGTATTTTACATATCAGTGACTCTTTTTTATAACTGGCAATTTGTAGATATTAATTTCTTCCCCTTTTGCACCTGTCCCCACCAATCCCTTCCCATCTGGCCACCAGGAATTTGTTCTATGTTTCTATGAGTTTGTTTATGTTTTGTTTGTTCGTTTATTTTGTTTTTTAAATTTCACATATAAGTGAAATCATATGGTGTTTGTCTTTCTCTATCTGATTTATTTCACTTTGTATAATACCCTTTTGGTCCATTCATGCTGTTGCAAATGGCAAGATTTCATTCTTTTTATGGCTGACTAATATTCCATTGTATATATGTACCACCTCTTCTTTATCCATTTGTCTATTGATAAACACTTAGGTTGCTTCCATATCTTGACTATTGTAAATAGTGCTGCAACAAACATAGGGGTGCATGTATCTTTTTGAATTAGTGTTTTGGATTTTTTCGGATAAATACCCAGAGTGAAAATGCTGGATCATAAGATAGTTCTATTTTTAATTTTTTGCGGAAACTCCATACTGTTTACCATATCGGCTGCACCAATTTGCAATCCCACCAACAATACACAAGGGTTCCCTTTTCTCCACATCCTCGCCAACACTTGCTGTTTGTTGATTTATTGATGATAGCCATTCTGACAGGTGTGAGGTGATATCTCATTGTGGGTTTAGTTTGCATTTCTCTGAGGATTAATGATGTTGAGCATCCTTTCATGTATCTAATGGCCATCTGTATGTTCTCTTTGGAGAAATGCTATTCAGGTCCTCTGCCTATTTTTTAATCAAATTGTTTTATTTATTTATTTATTTATTTATTTATTTATTTATTTATTTATTTATTTTTGGTGTGAAGTTGTATGAGTTCCTTATATATTTTGGATATTAACCCCTTACCGGATGTATCATTGTTTGCAGGTTATTTTTGAAGTCGCTTTCAATGGTCCCAAAGGAGGGTATGTCGCCCTGGATGACATTGCTTTTTCTCCGGTTCACTGCCAAAACCAGACAAGTAAGCATTCTTTTTTTTTCTTCCTCACATTTGGAATTTTCCTTCTCAATAGATGCCTATAGCCATGACTTGCTTTAATTCTTTCTAGTTTTCTCACCTTTCCTATTATCTCATCTTTAAATAATTATTTAACTGAATAGCCCTTTTTCTGGTATATTACTTTTCTTCTCCTCACAGAGTGAACCTAATTTTTCTGACACCACAGCCTGTCGTCATGTGTTAAGGTGCTTTCATCTTCCCTACCTACTAGGAAATGAAAATTAAATAATACTAATTCATTCTCTCCCCATCTTTCTAAGGATGTCCTGGGTTCATAGATAGGTGGATGGGTAGGTAGAAAAAACTCTCAAAATCTACTGAGTAGAATTATGAAAACGCTTCCCAATTTTATGTATCCAAGACCTATAAATGTCCCCATGTTTAAAGATGTTAGTATTTGGTATATAGCTATATGATGGATTTTGGCTAAGTATTATATACTCAATGTAAATTCTCTTTCTAAGTTATTTCTCAAGTTATTTTATCATCATGGCCAATTTTGTAATTCCCATAAACTTGGTGTTTGGAAACAAGAGGAAATTTTTATTTTCTGAGAAAATAAGTAAACAAATCAATTCAAAAGTGAATTAGAAAGCAAATGTTTTAGAATAAGAAAGGTGACACTTTATGAATGATAACTCAGATAACTGCAATTCACCTTACCTTTTAGTGACTTTGTTTCCTTAAGAGGCCCCAGGGAAACACTGTGATCTTCCTATCTTATTAATGAGCCCTCATTCTGGGTTATGGAGCATGGGAAGTAAGTTACTGAACTTGACCTTTATAGTCTGACTTTCATGTGCGATAGTCTGTAATTTAATATGGCTTTAGATATATTCTACAAGCAAGGGAACTGAGAAAAATAATACTTCCTACTGAAGCAAAACTGTTACCCCCAAATTAGAGAGAAACCTACTAATTTGCTGAAACCAAATATTATTTTTTACTAATTCCAATTTTTTTTAAAAAACTAGTGAGACGGAAATAACCATCCTGATTTACATATTACATACCTTCATTAAATTATTTAATCCAAACTATAATCAAAGATGCAAAGAGTCTCTAAATTTGGCAGAGCACAGAAACCAACACTGTTTTACTTCTCTAAATCTGACTGCTCCCTAATCCTAGCCCCACGTAATACCATTTCAGTGATGTTAATAGTAGTTTCACAACCTCTTTATCACTATTTTTGGAAAGTTTTTCTTTGCCACTAGGCATTTACTTTGAAGTTTTATATTTCCAAGTTATACGTATACAAGAAGAGGTGTTTATTCAATATCTGCAGTGGGTAGAGGGTAGGGTGAAGAGGCAGCTAAGAAGTCATAGACTCTACAGAGCTACCTTAGAAGTAATGTTTGGAAACACTCTTCCTTTTAAAAAGGTACAGAATATATATGCACTCTTCCCTACTGACTGGTGAAACTAAAAGGAAGATTCCATCAAAATAAGGACCATTTACTTATTACCTGGCTGGTGGCCCCTCAGTCTTTAAAATCCAGCCCACATAAAGACCCTTACTCCACAGGGACCACCAGAGATTCACATTTTTATATAGTTAAGTTAACCAAGGCTCCAAATTGGTCTTCAGAACTTCCCAACATACCAACTTTGCTTTAAAATGGTCTAAATATGTGATTGTACTGTTATTCAAGAGAGACAGGACTCTGGATTCACATCCCTACTCTGCCACTTACAAGCTGTGTGACCTTGGGCATGTTAATTAACCTCTCTGAGACTCTGTTGCCACATTTATAGGACAAAGGTGGAAGAATCTGTTCCAGAGTGTTGTTGGGAAGATTGATGAGTTCATGTCTTTGACGGTCTTAGAAGAGTATGGCACACAGAAAACTCTAGGTCTTGAGACTTAGTATTTTTACTTCATTTTCAAAATACCCCCATCCATTACCTGGAGAACAGGGGCTCAGATTGAAACTAAAGAGAACCAGCAAAGGGGTCTGCCTTGATGAATATGTAAGCTGGAGCTGCTTCATGCTTTTCATTAAGCAGCTGTGAACCAGATCCTGAGGCTTAGAAGCTGAGCCCTTTAGTTTTCATACTTCATCTTGCATTTCACAAATAGTTTATGCCCTTCTGTTTCATAACAGGTGCCAACATTCTTTTCTTTATCATGATTGGCTCCAGACTTGTTGTCTCTGCTTTTCCCAACTGGACCTAGCATCTTTCCTCATTTCTGTAGTAGGCCGAGACAGGAATGATTTCAGCACGTGAAGCATGTCGTTCTCACCATCTGGTTGGGCTTAGAGTTAATTCAGTTTCTCCAACCTGAGACCCATTACAGAGTCGAAGGTGTTAAACGCCAGTGTCATGTCACTCCCTGAATATTTCCGTAGGATGCACCAGTGGACTTTGAGACTTCCCCACTCCTCCCACCTTGAGTTCTAGCACTGCTCTTTCCAAGTGTTTTCCACCCTCCATTCCACCATCACATTTGGCCTAGAGCTTAGATCATAGGCATAAGCTCTTGCATGCCTAGCAGGTGATTACATCCACTTCCAGGAATCCTGCCTTGATGCCCAAACCCCAAACCGAGAGTGTCACTGCTCTGCCCTGTGCAGACCCAACCTCCTCTCTGAGCTTGCGTCCATCCCATACCCAGGCCAAGACTGGAAGGGGCCTGACATTCATGGATATACTCTCAAAGGATATCTGCCTGGGCCTAAATCCCAACATTGACCATTCACTGGTAACACACTGCCCAGACGTCTTATACAGTTGGAAACCTGGTTCCAGTTGTTGCCTTGGTTACAGCTGAAGTTGCCACAGCCTTCCTTAGCTCAGAGGCCCTCAAGCGTCTCCGCTGCTTGATCAGTGGCCCAGCCTCTGCTCCATCATGATTCCTCGGTCTGGTGCTAGGTCCCACTCACTCTCTTCCCCAAGCTTTGAGCTGTTTTGGCCTGATTTCAGGTTGCTCCATGCTAAAATAAAACGTAAAAAGCACATGCACCCCAAATCTCTCCAGCACCACAGGGGATGGATGAAGAGCCTTTTAGATCTCTAGGACTGATACTGACTTATCTCCATGAGCTCCACCAGCAGAGAAGATGAGAAACACTCCCACCACTTTTCTCTGTAATACCCCCATCTGATTAGATTATCTTCAAAGCCTCTCATTTCTAAAAACTTCAAACAGTCAGAAAGCAAGTAATTAACTAAATCTTACACTATAATGCTTTTTGGTACTTTGCTTAAAGGGATTTCCTTTTTTTTTTTCTGCTTAGCTGCTGCTCAGGGGCTTCTAACTGCCTGATTCCTTCCTGTGCTTCAAATACGTCATTAACACTCCCCAGTAGCTCAGTTATGATCTCCACTTGACCCGTCCTTCTGAAACAAATGTAAAACAGAGGCTTTCCAGCCACCTTAGATCTCCAAGGAGCTCCTGGGCCACAAACAGGCCCTCTGGCCCCACCTTCAGGAAGTAGACACTGTTTCATGATAATAGAAGCTTTCTGGGTGAAAAATAATTAGGCTCTGAATGTTTTGTAGGTTTTCTTTTTATCAGACTTTCTCAGGACCCCAGATAAATCCATTTCTAGGGCTAGATATTCAACAAAAGATTATAATCTCATCCTCAGAAAAATGTTTTCTGTAAGACTCAGTTTATCATCATGGAGAGAACTGATCCTTGCTTACTGTCAAGTTTTAATACCACCCTCCCACCCTCCCACCCACCTAATAAATGGGTATGGTGCTCATGTGGCCACCCAGGGGTATATTCCTTGGTGTGTATTCCTGATGAGTAATTTCACTGCCCTGCATTTCTCATTGGTGGCATGCCATGTCAGCTTCTGAGCTAGACGGCCATCTGTAGATTTTGAATTCTCATCCGCTTTATCATTACTATGTAGAAGTGGGGTGAATAAAACGAGACCATCGTGGGGTTTCCCATGGTATCAAACCTCCATGGGGGAATGTCAAAGGATCCTTGTTCATTTTTGAAAGACTTTATCCGTGTGGCCTAAAGATACACCCTGATGCTGACAGTCGGGCAGAGTGGTGTGTGGGCTAACCTGCCAGTCTTAGAGCTGAGGATTCTCTTCATTTCCTGTTCTCCTGTCGGACTCATCAGGGCACTTTCCTTGTACCCTTCTCAGGCATGTCATCTGAGATACAGTCAGTTTCCAGATATACAGGACCATTGTCTTCCTAGTCATTGTAATGTGCTATCAGTCACTTACTTTTTTTTTTCTAATTTAGTGTTTTTAGAACTTTTTATTTTTGTATCATTTCAAACTCAGAAAAAATTGCAAGAATACTGTCAAGAACTCCAGCATACTCTTTACTCAGATCTACAAATTATTAACATTTTTTCACATGTGCTTTATCAACCATTTGAAAGTAGGTTGCAGACATTACTTGTATGCCTCTTTACCCCTAAATATTTCAGTGTGTGTTTTCTAAAATGAAACACATTCTCCAATATAATTACAAAGTTCAGGAAATTTAACACTGATAGAATATTATCGACTAACTACAGCCCCTATACCAATTCGCCAGTAGCCCCAATAATGTCATTTGTAGCTGTTGCTTTTCCTGGACCAAGGTTGAATCTTGGATCCCTCGTAGCATTTAGCTGCCATCCCTCTTTTGTCCTATTTAATCTGAGCCAGCTCCTCAACCCACTTGAATGTTTTCTTGCTTTGAAAATTGATAAATTGTCTTTGTCCCTAAACTGCTCCATGTTTCATCAGATCACTGCTCCCAGAACTCAAATGTTCCTCTAGAGATGATTTCCAGTTATTCAACAGTGCCCTCTCTCTCTAGCTCTAAAAGGTTAGACCAGTGTGTCAGCATGCAGAACAGAATCCCATTTGGGTACACTGGAAGTGTCCCAAACTTTGGGTCACATCTCCTCTGGGCTCAGAGAGCAATCTGAACAGTGAGGTTTACAATCACTTGTTGCTAGGACTAAGTTATTCTTGAAAGAGCAGAAATATTTTGTATTCCTTTCCCTGCAGGCAATCTGGGATGAGGTGATATTTATAAACCAAGGTAAAATGATACTGGAACTCAGCAAAAGCCAAAATGATAGCAGTATGGGTGACAGAATTGGTGTGTCTTTTTGAACAGCATGGTTTATATACTAAGTAATGATTTTCTTCCAGCAGATCAGCTACTACTACTAATGTCAATAATAAATAGACAGTAGCTGTGCTCTGACACACAGATTTCCCAACAAAGGAAAATTATTTCTGAAAACTATTTCTAAAATATATTTCTTAGAGGGAAATTAAGAATTCCTTAAAATCCTTACCTTTTCTCTCTCTTTTTAGTTTTGTATGAATGAATTTTGAATTGTGAAAAAGTATGTGAATAAATGCTCTCAGTTTTTACAGCATGAAAGGAAATTTCTTTTGAAGTCTGGTACTTCCTTATTTTTATGCAGAATGTGAACAGAGCTCCATGCTTCCATCCCTTTAGGGAGGAAAAGAACAATTTTCCTGTCATGCTGAAACATTGGTTTGATGCTAACCTGTCAGCGTGCCATTAGGGTAAAAATATTTTGTTGTGTTTTACTTCTCCAGTCTCCCCGGCACAAATATGTACCTATTTGTCAATCAGTTGATGTATTCCTTGGAGATCCTTAGATTTAGCTTTGGTTTTCCTTTGCTCAGAGCTTCCTTTCAGTGCCTTAGAAGCAAGCTGCGATTTTGAGGAAGATCTCTGCAACTTTTACCAAGATAAAGAAGGTCCTGGATGGAACCGAGTGAAAGTAAAACCAAACATGTATCGGGCAGGCGATCACACTTCAGGCTTAGGTAAATCAGGACTCTGTCCATGTGGGACATTGAGGGAGGGAAGGGGGGGTGGGGTGTATTCACGCTCAATTCGCCATTCAGACTCCACACCTACCAAGATGCCAGCTTAAAAAAAAAAAAAAAAGGCAGCTGTAAAGAAGCAAAGACAATTGGTAATCTTGTGTTTGACCATTTTTAAAACTGGAATTCACGTTGCT